ACGGCAACGTTTCAGACAACATCTTCTAAACCTATTGCGAGAATAATGCGCTGAACCTTATTTCATGGAGAGTAACTTTCATTAAAAATGATCTCAAACAACGTAAATAATGAATATCTAAAAACGTTTAGCAACATTTAGCCCAATAAAGTCATTGGAATTTAGTTCTTTAAAAAGTTCCATCTTGCTGACCTTAAGCTAAAACAATGCAGCTTTACATGACGACATCATTGAAATGGTTCAAACAGCTGATTTCTGTGGCTCATCCCTCATTTCTTCTTCTTTCAAATGTTCTTCTCAAGCAGCTCTGCAGATCTCATGCTAAGGGAAAGAGCTAAGATGCTAAATGCCAGGACCATAATGACAACACCACCACACAAAGACCCGTTACTGGTACACTTCTAGTATTAACCTCAACCGCAACGCCTCTTACCTTAACAGCTGTTAACAGTGTCACTAACAAATGCCTAAATCATGTTTTTGCCCTCTACTTGTGAAAGGAAGAGTCGTACCGCTTCAAATGCTGTATGTTTATCTCATAATTAAAGTTGTCTATTATTTTGGCCAATGGCGTAATTGAAATCATTTTGATATGTTTTAATTTTCAAGTTGAAGAAAAGAGTCCATTTGTGCTCTTCAGTGTGTGATAGCCTGTGAGGAACTAAGAGAAAAAGCCTCAAGACCCTAAGAAGTGACTCAAACCCTTTTGTGATCGCTCACTGCTGGCTTTAACACTTGGCGAGAAACCCTCGAGAGTCGACGCCGGGCCTACATAGTGTGGAATAAAAGATTAGAAGATGATAAGAGGCTGACGTTATTCACATGTCTGACCCGAGTGTTTCACAAAAGGGTGGAATCAGAAGTCGAGTGATCTCAGCCTTTGCTTCAGCCACGCAGAGGACCTGGCTGAGAGCCCTTCCAGTGTGCTGCGCATTGTCTCCTCTGGTGCTTCACCTTGCGATTTCCTCTTACACCAGCAGTGCTTGCAGTTGACCCTGGCCTCAGCGACACTTGGAGCAGGCACATGGAGAAAAGTAAGGTGTAATGACGCTAGATT